ACCTGCAGGACCTAGTTATTGCGTAGAACCCGAGGAGGACCGTACCTTGAAGAAAACATGGGCGGGAGAAAAGAATGGAGGCAAGACAGTATTCTGATCAAGCCTCAAAATTTTATTCAGCAGCAAGAGTATTTATACAGGGCTAACAAAGGGGGGCAGGGCTAGCTGGGCGGGAGAGTATCTGTCACAGGCGCATTGGTTCTTAGCTGGTGGGGTGAGGAGTGGTAAGGGTTAGAGGGAGTGGGAGTGAAGGAGGGAACTGTAACTCTGGGCTGGGCTGACTGCTAGGGGGCTAACAAGATGCAGGATGCAGATAAGGCCTCGCCTAGTCACAAGATTCTTTTTTCTTAGTTTTGGCTCCCAACAACAATTGTTATAAAGTTTTATATCATTTCTATTATTTTTATGAATACCGAATTATTATGAATAATTAAAATCTGGATCGATGCTGGAAAAGAAAAATAGTTGTATTAATAAGTGCAGTTAAATTTTCCCCCCAAAAAAGAAAGAGTCCCTGGGAGAAATATGATAAAAATAATCCTTGTTGGAGAAAACACTCATTACCATGCTGCCTCATCAAACTACATCTCGGTCCTGGGATAAGCCATGATTTTATTGATCAAGTTTTTCCTCTACCAGAAATGTCCCTTCACCATTAACTTTGGTGACTATTCAAAGAGTACACTCTTCTCCAAGCCCCCAAGAATAATTGTGTCCTCTCAGTGCTGTGATATAATCTACACATATTTGTATTATGTAACTTAAATAAATAATAACCAAACAATAGTATCTGTCTTTCCTTGTTATATTAAAAGCTTAATGACAGGAACTCTGCCCTTTTCACTGTTATGATCTCCTCCCCCAGCACCTATGTCAGTACCAGTTAGAGAATAGGGTAAGAAAATATACTAAGAACAATAAACAGCAACATAAAAAGGGCCGAGTTCAGAACTCTCCTTTTTGCCAAATTCTTCCTAAGTGGGTGCTGAAGCCCTGCCACATCAATCAGACTGATAGAAAAAAAAAAAAAAAAGAAACTCAGGTGTTGTGACTTCTCTGCCAAGACGAGCTAGAATAGAAGGCGCTCTCTTAGCTTCTTAATAACCTTTACGCCAGTAATACTTCCAAGGCCTTTTCTATGTTCTTCTCTGTGGTCTTGCAAAATGCAGTCGAATGCATTTTAGACCAGGCATTTCAACTACTACTTTCTCATTTTCTACCAACCATAGTTTCACGTGCATCCTTTCCACCTATTATTCCCTCATCTGCTTATGTTACGCCCTTTCTTATTTTATCTATTTCATCCAATTCTTATCTATATTCAAGAATGATTAATGTTCTCACTTAAAAACCCTCAAAACACCATTTCTCTTTAAAAATAGAAGTGCAATTTTTCTCTCATGCAGGAATATTTCATTTATACCCAACCAGTCTACTTCATCCATACATCTCTTTAAAACTACAATTAATTTGACGTAAAATGCTAAAGTTGGCTTCATATAACAATGTCAAAACACCAGAAATCCACTTTCGATTTTCATTCTATCTGAATCTATCTCTAGATACGAGTTCTTAGTTAACAAACATTCATTTTCTGATGTGCCAGACACTGTGCTAGGTCCCATGGATTTAGTGGAAACGGGGAAGGGTTACTCAATATTTACAGTGCAGTGTGATAAGTGCTATATCCACATAAAACAACCCAATGTTGACACAGCAAGTGAGAGTCCGTATACTTAACTTCCAAAGTCCATGATTCCCTGGATCCCCAGTAGTCAAATACACTAAATAATATTTCATTGTCTTCACTCATATCATGAAGTAAATATAAAGCAGTGTGTGAAATCATAATGGTTTGAAGTCCTTTTTATGGTTCTCCTCAATCCCTCTATGCAGACAGAATCTCTGTTGTTAAAATAACAATGACCAAGTGTGATATCTCCTTGTCTTACCAAATGTATTTAAATCGCATTAGAGTACTTATTTTTTAACAACCACCATCTTGACCAAGACAAGATAAATCTTACACAAATTTTCCCATTTGGTGATATATTTATTAACAACATTCAGAGATCCTTGGTTATTAGAAGTTTTGGTAGAACGCCACTGTACGGTTATAAGTATATAATACAGCTTCTTATACATGTTAAAAATATTAAAGAGACTCGAACAGACCAATAATAAGAGAAATTAACAAGGTTATGAAAAAATTATGGGGGAGAAAAAAGCTCCTAGCTCCAGTGAATTTACAACTAAATTAATTCTGATTTCAAGAAAGAAACAGTTTCTGTTAGGTACACTGTTCCAGAGATGGAATCTACCTGTGCACTCTGCAAAGCAAATACAAAGTCAACTTTTTCCTCCATATGCCAACATAATTAAACATGATTGGGAAGGGCATAGTCTTCCCAATCTCCTCTCTCTTTTTTGGCTGGCTCTGTAGATAAGTACACCTCTCACACAGTTTACTGTTCTGCTTTATGGAGAAAGATATAGTATGCAACAAAAACTGCAAACAAATGAAATGCAGTCCCAGGTCTGCGGTCGCTGCCTCCAAAAGATGACACGTGGAATTCTAGGTAGGCTTCTGCACCTCATCTTTTTCTAGAGCCACTAGGACTCATCGACTTCTCCCACTATTCTATCTGACCTAATATTAGCAAAGGCCACAAAGACTTCTTATCCCTCACAAGTTCTTTCCAGCCTGCAGATTTAATCCATGCAAAACAGTTATATCCCCATTGCCTCAATGGGATAATTTGGAAGGCTGAGGCCATGCGAATTAGATGACCCCAGTTCATTAGATCTTTGCGTTACCCAGAAATGATATTCTCTGGCAACTTTCTCATAATTTCCCATTATAACAGAAGTAAAATCAGACTACCCTGTTTGTTTTTAATAACTTCTTCCACACACAGAAAGTCAAAGTCTTTTCCCTTATTCCAGTAGAGGGATCTGAATGAAGTTTTTTAAAAAGTTTGCTGAGGTGTTTCAATTAGAAGTAGAATCCATGTCTATTTCTACCAATTTAAAATGGGGGTTTTCATAGAACTCAGCTAAGTCTGATTTTGAAGGGCCCAAACTATCCTCAAACATCCTTTTTCTCTCATGGATAATTTCCATTCTCTTGCCATACTGAATGGGGGTGGGGAAACTATAGAACTCTCCCGCACTCCTTACATCAGTGCCACTCCATACTCTAATTTCCTGTTTGGAGGCATTTGTAGCTACGACAAATTTCCTGTGGAAATCAAAAGTAAGTGTTACTCTCTCCAGACATACTAGTTTTTAACTGCCCAAAAGTTCCTTATTCTCGAGGGGATAAATTATTTTATTAGCTGAATGATCAATGCTAAACTTTAGGGGTAGAAACCTTTAGAGGCAACTATTACAAATCTACCAGGTCGGCCTCTGAATTTGTCTCTTCAAGAAAATGGCAAGAACTGAGTTTTGAGGTACCTACCAGGAAGAATTTCTCTGCTTTTTGGCACTTGTTTTACTAATATGCTCACCATTCTCATGCCAAGTCTACCCATCTCCAACCACAGCAGAAGGCACAGTTGCTAGTGTTTCTGCTGTCCTTCCTTCTAGAAGTTCTCCACCTGTCCTGTGTTTATTTATATGCCAACAGGGCTTTGGAGGACCACCAGCAGGCCTTCTGGTTGTGTTTGGACCATTCTCTTTCCTCAGTGCACAAAAACACAAATTGGAGCTTCAGATGCTGGGCTGCCCTGGATGGAGAAGTTCTTTCCTATTTTCATGAAGTCTTTCCTAAATAATTCTTTATCCTAAATAATAGGCAACTAAGCCATCTGGCTTCAGGACCCTCCCAGCCCATCACCCACCCATTCCTCAGTTAATTGCCAATAAAAATTACAATCCTACCAATGCTAGTGACAACTCAGCGAACTAGTCACTTTATGACTCCATATTATCTAAATTGTTCTGAGAAGCATGAATGAAGAGTCCTTAACTTCTTGACTCAGAATTTTCAGCTCTGGAAAGCTAATCTGGAAAAATAATCCATGGTTAAATTATAGTATACCCACTCAAAGTAGTCATTTAAAGCAGACTATATTGTAACATGAAAACCTTGGCCTCAAAAAAAAAAAAAAGGCTAGACAGAAATACCTTACAACTACAATTGATGTTCCATTAGCATGATGGGGCCCTTGAAGAAGTAAACTTCCATCAAATATGATTTATAATTTGTGATTTCTTCTATGGTTTGCTGATTTTTGCAGTAGTAGAAGAAAACAGGATCTGGCTAAATCTCCTCATCCCCACAGTTCTCAATAAAGCTTTTTGTCAAATGACTACATACATACTCAAAATATTTCCTGCTAGACATTCTGTCTTGAACACCAAGTCATTAAGCACTTATTTGCCGGTCCTGCGTATGGGGTTTCTCATACTTATTTAATCCTCATAAAAAAAAACCTTGTGAAGAGGTATCATGGCCTCAATTTTGCATATGAAGAAACAGCTACAAGTCACTATCCAAGGTCATACTGGGGTATCAGAGCCAAGAGTCAAACATCCGGTCTTTCGACTGGTTGGTTGCTCATTGTTCTTTTTAGTGTTTTTCTAGATCCTTAAACCCACGATTAAATGTTACAATTAATATCATCCCCAGAAACCAAGTTTCTGTCATGTAAAACTGGCGCTCTCACACTGTCACTCAATATTGAATACCTTTCCTGTGTCCTACCGCAGATCCTGGTAATAATCACTCTGTTTTCCGAATGTGGGCTGCACGTTATTAAAATGCTTCCGCTAAATCGTAAAGGCCCAAGATATGTTATATGCCTTGCATAACAAGGGCTCGAGGAGGTTCCTATTTTTGTCAGTGGGCTGTGTGGGCTTCTACACAGGGCCACGTGGGAAGGCGCGAGCGTCCTAAGGGTGGTGGTGGTGCCCTGCACGGGGATCACAGATCTCGCTTCGCCGTGCGCTTCCCGGGCGGGTCCTTGCAGCCCACCCGTGGCCCAAGGCCTCACCTTGAGAGTCTCGTAGGCGGTCGCCACCAGCAGGAAGGCCTCTTCGGCGCTCTGCGGCGTGCGCCCGGGGCCCTCGTCGCCAGGCTCCGGACGGTAGCGGTCGGGGTGGTAGCGCCGGGCCAGCTGCCGGTAGGCCCGCGCGATCTCCGCCTTGCCGGCCGTGCGGCTCACACCCAGCACCTCGTAACAGTCGCGCGTGCCGCAGTAGAGCCCCTCCACCAGGGCCCCTGCGGGCCGCGCCAGCAGCAAGGGGGGCAGCAGCACCAACCAGCGCCGGCTCGCAGCCCCAGCTCCCCAGCGCCGAGCGAGCGGCGCCCCCATCCCGGCCTCGGCCGCAGCTCTGCCGCCCCAGCCGCTCTCCCGCACTTGGCGGCGCGCCGAGCTCGGCCGCGGGGCCCAGTTCCACGTCAGCTACAGGCGCCTCCGCGCAGGCGCACGGGGCGCTGCTGCGGCAGCCGCCTCCTTCGCGACCGTTGCTAGGGCGAAGGACGCCTTAGCCACCCGGCCGCTGCTGGTATGTCGCTGAGCACCTTCCTAAACCCAATGGCCAGAGGATTTATCCTTAGTCGGACCTAAAGGCGCAATTCACCAGCGTGTGCAGAGCGCTTTACCGTCCGCAATGCCCTTCACACGCGATCTTTTCTGCAGCCTCAGACGCCTTCTCATGAACTGCATGCTACCTTTACAAAAGGAAGATGAACTTAGAAAGTCTAGGCTCTGTCTGCCCTAAAGTTCATGGCCATCTAGTCCAGGGTTTCTTGCCTCCGTGCTATTGACGTTTTGAAACGGATAATTCTTTGCCTTATAGGGACCGTCCTATGCATTGTAAGAGGCTTAGCAGCGTCCCTGTTCTCTACGCCACCATTCCAGTGGTGACAATCAAAAAGGTCTCTAGATATTGCCAAATGTGTTCTGGGGGTAGGGTTGCCAGGAAAAATACAGGTCACTCCGTTCAATTTGAATTTCAGATAAACGACAAATAATTTTCAGTGTAAATATGTCGCAAATATCGCATGGGACTAAACAGTAATATGAAGATCTTTGCCTCAAAAAATTGTTTCTATCGTTCGCTCAGTAAACATTTATTGAGTCTCTACTATGAGTTAGGCACTGTTGTAGGCACTGGGGACATAGTAGTGAGCAAGGTACACAAGGTTCTTGATCTCAGGGAGCATATATTCTGGTGGAGGATGACAGACGATAAGCAAGAAAATAAATAAACTTTAAGATATAATAAATTCTTTTAAGAAAATGGAACAGAGAAAAAAGAAATAATGGAACAAGGTAAAGATATATATAACATTATATAGTGTTGGGAGCCAAAACTAAGAACAAAGAATCTTGTGACTAGGCGAGGCCTTATCTGCATCCTGCATCTTGTTAGCCCGCTAGCAGTCAGGCCAGCCCAGAGTTACAGTTCCCTCCTTCACTCCCACTCCCTCTAACCCTTACCACTCCTCACCCCACCAGCTAAGAACCAATGCGCCTGTGACAGATACTCTCCCGCCCAGCTAGCCCTGCCCCCCTTTGTTAGCCCTGTATAAATACTCTTGCTGCTGAATAAAATTTTGAGGCTTGATCAGAATACTGTCTTGCCTCCATTCTTTTCTCCCGCCCATGTTTTCTTCAAGGTACGGTCCTCCTAGGGTTCCGCGCAATAACTAGGTCCTGCGGGTCGGGGCACTCTCTCTCTCTCTCTCTCTCTCTCTCTCTCTCTCGTTCTCTGTACTCCACCTTACTAGACTCTTTGGGCTCACTGAATGGATTCCTCTCATCCATAGATCCTATCCCATATCCTTCTGTGAACATTGCCTCTCTCCTACCCTCATTTGGCTAATATTATGCCATCCTTCAGGTTTCAGTCTAAATGCATGCTTTTAAAGAGTTCTTCTTTGAACCAAAAGACTAGGTTAAGTCCCCTGATAATTTGGAAACATTTGCATAATGTTCTCTTCCTTTCTTTACTGGTGAGTACAATAAGGGCTGGTGATAAGTAAGTGACATATTTATTCTTGTATTCTCATTTACCTAGCTCAGAACTTGGCATCTAGTACAAATTCAATAAATATCTAAATTATGAAAGAATTCGTTTAACATAAAATGGGAGCACAAGTGAGACAGTAGTCAGTTCTACTTGGAGAGGCAGTCAGTAGATACCATCCATGTTTCATTCATTTGAATGTCCAGGATGAATTTAAGA